GCACTATTAAGTGTGGTGTAGATCAGTGATTCTCAAAGCCGGTCGGCCGCTTGTTCAGGGAAAGCCCCTGGCAGGCCGGGACAGTTTGTTTACCTACCGCAGCCGCAGGTTCGGCCGATTGCGGCTCCCACTGGCCGCAGTTCGCCGCTCCAGGCCAATGGGGGCTGCGGGAAGGGCGGCCAGCACATCCCTCGGCTCGTGCCACTTCCCGCCGCCATTGGCCTGGAGCTGCGAACCGCAGCCAGTGGGAGCCGTGATCGGCCGAACCTGCGGCCGCGGTAGGTAAACAAACCGGCCCGGCCCACCAGGGGCTTTCCCTGAACAAGTGGCGGACCGGCTTTGAGAACCACTGGTATAGATCAGGCTGACTCCTTCACTGGAGAGGACCCGTCTATTTTATTGGAGAAAACACTTTAGGACATTCTGCCAACTCATAGCACAGGGCTGTACCCCCACAGACACTGCCAGGGTGGGGGATTCGAGCCTTTGTATGTTATAAGAGGAACCTCTGAAATGTATTCATGACTGAGAACAGGGGTCTAGTAGGTCAGAGCAGGGGGATTGGGAATCAGGACTCCTGGGTTCTAGCCTTGGCTATAGGGGGGACTGGTGTTGAGAGCAGAGGGACAGAATTCAGGAGTTCTGACTCTGCCACTGATTGTCTGTGTGCCCTGGGTAGCAACTAACTGCCCCTCCCCTGTGTTCCTCAACTTCCCCCTCTGTAAAACGTTACATACCTATCTCCTAGTGGGATTTACAATGATGAATTTATTAACAACTGTAAATCACTTTGGAGTCCTTGGACCCTAGGTGCTAGAGAAGGGAAAAGGAGTTTTACTATCTTCCTCCTCATATATATATATATAAAGAAAAGACCATGATAAATGGAAGTGGTACCACCTGTTGTTACAAGTTAGACCAAAAGCTGGTCTGGTTATATCGAGCATTGTCTAATCCTGCTCTCCCCTCCTCTTGTCACCCCCGGATACGCAGGGTTCATTTCTCTAGGGCAGGCTGGTTCCGTTGCCCTGAAACTGAACTGGAGTTTGAGGTGAGGGCAGCAGTGACCATCCGCTATGGATACGGCTCCTGGAGGCAGCATCTGACTGAATCGCAGCAGGAGCAATGGATGGTGGCTGGCCCTTTGTTTGACATCCGAGTGGAACCGACTGAGGCTGTGGCAGCCATTCACCTCCCGCACTTCCTGTGTCTCAGAGGTATAGTTGGAATCAGACTCAACAGTGTGACTTTAATCACCATTGTAATAGTATTAACAATAAGGGTAATCTTGATTGTAACCTTAAAGCAGAGTGGCCCAGGGAATAGTGCCCAGGAGTCGTCATCACACCCTTAAAGAACATCATAATCACCGCTATTAATGTAATGACATGTTAAAAGAATGTTTAAGGTTGCAAAGTCGAGCATTCAATAGTAAGGAAATGCTGGAATTAAGGCTGCCTATGCAATCTTAATTCAGCCCCCTCTGTGACTAACTGTTAGCAATAGTAGGTTGTCATCTTCTATGTGGATTAGACACTAGAGGGGGATGGGGACACACACTTATCCCATGGGTATCACAATGATTTGCTGACAGCAGAAGAATGTTGAGAATTGGGAATATAGGATTACATTCCAGGCTCTGGAGGGGACTGTTGGCTTATGGCCACAGACCTTTCTGCTCCCATCCCTCCCAGCCTGTCCCTGTTCCAGCCCTGTCTCTCCACCCCGCTCCAACTACTTGTTTCAGTTTCCTTGCCTAGCCAGACCTAGTCTTTTCCAACTGCCCCCCAGATCTGATCCCCCTCTCCTCCACTACCTGTTCCCAGTCCCTGTGGCCCACCCTCAGGCTCCTCATCCCATCCTGCTCTCTCTGCCTCTCCCCCAGATCTGGCTTTTGTCCCATTGATTTCCAGTCAGAAGGCCTCCTCCTCTGCGGTGCCTGGATGCCTACAAGGGGGCCCTGATAGCATAAGAGAGAAGCTCCCTGCTTTCAGGTCTGGTGACACAGCAGTCCTTGGCTGTTGAGAGGATCAGTTGCAGGGAGAGCACAGATCAGAACCTGCAGGCCCAGGTTGGAGCATGCCCAGTGCAAAAGGGCATAAGGAGTGGGATCCCACAGAGATCAGTTCTGGGTCAGTTCTGTTCGATATCTTCATCAGTGATTTAGATAACGGCATAGAGTTTTCACTTATAAAGTTTGCAGATGATACCAAGCTGGGAGGGGTTGCAAGTGCTTTGGAGGATAGGATTAAAATTCAAAATGATCTGGACAAACTGGAGAAATAGCCTGAGGTAAATAGGATGAAATTCAATAAGGACAAATGCAAAGTATTTCATTTAGGAAGGAACAATCAGATGCACACATACAGAATGGGAAATGGCGACCTAGGAAGGAGTACTGCAGAAAGGGATCTAGGGGTCATAGTGGATCACAAGCTAAATATGAGTCAACAGTTCGACACTCTTGCAAAAAAAGTTATCATTCTGGGATGGATTAGCAGGAGTGTTGTAAGCAAGACACGAGAAGTAATTCTTCTGCTCTACTCAGCACCGATTAGGCCTCAACTGGAGTATTGTGTCCAGTTCTGGACATCACATTTCAGGAAAGATGTGGACAAATTGGAGAAAGTCCAGAAAAGACCAACAAAAATGATTAAAGGCCTAGAAAACATGACCTATGAGGGAAGATTGAAAGAACTGGGTGTGTTTAGTCTGGAAAAGATACAACTGAGAGGAGACATGATAACAGTTTTCAAGTCCATAAAAGGTTGTTACAAGGAGGAGGGAGAAGAATTGTTGTTCTTAACCTCTGATGATAGGACAAGCAGCAAAGGGCTTAAATTGCAGCAAGGGAGGTTTAGGTTGGATATTAGGAAAAACTTCCTAACTGTCAGGGTGGTTAGGAACTGGAATAAATTGCCTAGGGAGGCTGTGAAATCTCCATCATTGGAGATTTTTAAGAGCAGGTTGGACAAACACCTGTCAGGAATGGTCTAGAATGATAATACTTAGTCCTGCTATGAGTGCAGGGGACTGAACTAGATGACCTCTCGAAGTCCCTTCCAATCCTATGATTCTATGACTCATCGGGGTTTAGCTGGCACGCTCTAGCAAGTTTCTAGTGAACGTGTATAAGGTGAGATGCAAACTCGGACAAACTTGGGTGGATTTTCACAGGAACAGCATAAAGGTCATCGAGTCCAGCCCCACTGCCTTCATTAGCAGGACCAAGTACTGATTTTTGCCCCAGATCCCTAAGTGGCAAAGAATGACTGGACTGTGAGCTTTGGTTATGCCCCAGGAGTGTAGATCTTATAGGACCCAGGATCAGGACAGACTGCCTGCATATCTGGGGGTTAATACACAATCAGGCGAGCAGTGGGCTGAGTTGTCCTTGGGAGTTGGGGGTCAGGGAAAGCAGTGGAGGGAAGGTGCCAGAGGGACCTTGTGAAGGTCAGTGCAGAATCCAAGCCACCCGCAGAGCTACAAGGAGGGGTGTTTCCAGAACTCAGGTGGACAAACTGCCTCTCTGAATGCAGAATGCAGACAGGCTAACGGAGCCTCACTTGCTTTGTGACCCACTGACAGATGCCGACAAGTCCTGGATGCATATTGCCCATTTCATCGATGAAGGGATGATCCTGGAGAACCCAACGCAGGTGAGGTTGTTCCACGCCGTGCTGGAGAACCCCAGCTTCTCTCTGATTGGAGTGTTTTGGAGGAGGGAGAGTTCTGTTCAGCGTATTCCGATCCATTCCATTGTACTGCTCTACCAGGCACAAAAGAGAGTTAATCTAACCCTCCACCTCTACCTGATACCTGACGACGGCTCACGGGTCAAGGTAATCTATAGTGTGAGCCTTATGGGAACACACACTTACCCTGTTACAGTCTAACTCTCTCAGGGACAATGGGGCTGTTGTGAAGCACAGAACACACACAAGACGCTTTTCCCAAAGACTAACTCATTATTGCTCTTTCACTTAATCATACAAAGCACAAGAGAGCACAGATCATATAGAAAACAATGAACATCTTAGCTGCAATGCCCCTCACTAGCTCACCCTTCCCTTGGGAGACCGTCTAGGCTCAGGAAAACAGACAGATCTTGCAGCTGCTCCATGCTGGGTGGCTTCTCTCTCATCAAGCCTTCTTCCTCAGCTCATGTGACCTTCCTCTGTCCTTCCCAAAGGTTCCTGTGGGTCTCCCTAGCTTATATCCCCCCTTCCAACATCTGCTTTTCTTTGTTCTGTTTCTTGGTAACTTTCAGCTGCTTCAAAAACTGCCCCCTCAGACAGAGGAGGAAGTATCTTTTCTCTTGGGATGAAGTTGCTCTTTCACATAACTTTTGTTCAGTCATAGCACCATCATTATCCGTAAGTACCTTCCTATTGTATCTGTTCTAGGAGGATCTGACCCAGCCCTGCTAGCCCTTGGTGGGTCCACACACAGGGTGGCATTGGTGCTGTCACAGTATTCCACAGTAACATTTCAGAATAGCTCCATAATATCAACCAGAATTCAAAAGTTGTACACACAGAGTCCTCAGCTTGTCACAACTCTCAGGGGGTGAGCTGGCCATTAACAGGGGCTGGGGCCCACCTCCCCAGGTGAATGGAATTAAGGGTAGAGTCACTAGACAGAGTCATGTGACACAATCAGGCCTGTTGGGGGGATAAACGCAGTTTTTGGGCAAAGGGGAAGCAGATCATGGAGACAGTAGGGAGAGTAGACCTGGGACTCATTGTTCCATCCAGAGCTTGAGGGCTGGCAGTGTGTAGGAAGAGGCACTAGGAAGGAGCCAGGCAGTCTAGATTATGGGCCAAACACCTGGTTGTGTAGGGTTCTGAGAGCTGAGAAGTCACAGGGGAGGGAGGGTTTGGGTTCCCCCTGTGTTGCCATCCTGTGCTGGGGACCAGCTACCTGTATGAACAAGAGGAAGATGAAGGGACTGAGGAGAGCCCAGGTGGGCTAGAAGATGAGCCCAGATGGGCTGGATGAATATTGGGAGATGACAGACCCTCAAAGGAAGGGCTGTTCCTGGGGTGAGACTGGGGTGGAAGATTTGTGTGTTGTTTCAATACTGGGACCACCTGGAGGGTTAAGTCATCTCAGTGACATAAAACGTTGGATGCCAGCTGTCAACTGTTGGAGAGAGGGAAACTGGGGG